TAACGTTACTCTCTTAAAGTCCAGCAGCTGTGTATCTTCCGTATGTATAGGCTGTAGTTATTATAATATTATTGCAACAATAATACAGAAATGAGAAAAAATATGATTAATTCTAATAACTATAATAAAGAGATGACATTATTTTCTTATTATTATCTAATTATCTTGCCTCTTGTAATATCAATAAGAACAAAATTCTGAATGGCAGTGAGTCTAAATAACAAAAGTCTTTATTCAATATTATTATTGAAGTAAGTGAGAGGACTTAAATCATCTACAAAAATTACAATTGAATTATCCAGGTTAGAGAGTATTATCCTAAAATTCTATATATAGATGTTATATAGGTTTAGTTATATAAAGACCAAAGTTTAGAAAATGAAATATGGGTTGAATTAAGTTTATTAGTAATTTATTACTTACACAGAGACCAAAATTCTAATCAATTTTTAATTGAAAAATATACTATTATTTATTCTTGATAATGCTGGTAATATCTAATTATTTCATCAAAATGAAAATTCATGCACGAGTATATGTAACATTTGTAATTATGTGAGCATTATTGTTAAAAAAAGAGAATCTCAAATTACAATTATTAAATTGATAATTTGGAGTTATGTAATAGAAACTCTTTTATATTTTAGTTATGGTTGAACCGAAAATCAGATCAATTATAAGGGGTAAATGCAAAATATACTCTTTATTCATGGAATCTGCCATAAGGATGCTCTTTATATGAAAATAGATACTAAATTTTCAAATTTGTACTTAAAATAGCAATTAATTAGTATCTGGAGTTTAGAAGGCATGTAGATTTTTATATTATTAATACATTTTAGCCCACCACACATTAAACTTAGGATAGAATAAATAAGAACAACTACTCACTCAATTACATTTCATAATGGTCGAGTCTTACTATAAATTAGGTTTGAGTACATGCAAATGAAAGGAACAAATTCTTTCTCAATATATTACTACATGATAGATTGCAAGTTCATTAGCAGCCTTTTTCATCACAACTAATGGGAAAATAGTAGCATTTTCTATCCTCTTTTTAATCAGGATTTAAGTATAAAAGATGATAGAAAGAGCCATTATAAAAAATCTCTGTTAATGAATGTGTTGAGGAAGAATTTGGATATATATTCCAGGAAGTTGGTTATGCAGAATGTACACGACAACATGTATGAGATTTCATTTAAAAGAACAAGAAATACTATTCCTCAGCTCAGTGAAGTTGCTGAAGACTCTCATTAAGTCATAAAAATCTAGTAAGGTTACTTAAGTATTAAGAAATTTTATTTATAAAATAATTATTTAAGGTAGTTTGATGGCTTCCTGGGTCATGATGATTCGATCCAGATGAACCAAGCTTGATGCCTCTACATAGGATATCACTATCTCAGTTATTGTTAGGGAAATAATAATCCTTGTCAGCAAAAATAGAAAGACATATTTGGATCAAGGAAATAGGACTTGAAACAAGGAAAGAAAAATGTCTCAATAATATTAGATTTTAATTCAACCAGAATATTCAAAGAGTATATTTGGACTAATCCTTGAAAGATGATTAAGTTTGGAGACAGTTAAACTAAACAATTTCACTTGGTTAAGAGTTTTTTACTCTCTTGAAAATTGTGACAAGTTTATTAAATCTATTTACAACATTGTAAAGTTGAGAAATTAGGAATCTTTCTTGTTATAAATGATTAGCTTTATTTATCCCCTAGACATGTAGAGTTTGGATAGAGGGAAGATATGCTAATACCAAGGTATCCCTAGAACAGATTGGCAGAGAATTAGTAAGGATTTTATTTGGAACTCGTCCTACAAATTTAAGAATTTGCTTTTTTTTATTTTCCTTCAATGAAATAGAATATATTCTATCCTGAGGGATTTAGCCCGGACATATACACCATACAATGTTTGAAATTATTGTTTATATTGCAATCAACATCGATGAGAATCAGAATATATAAGAATTTCATTTCTAGCTCATCAAAGTTTTGAGTTATTTTATGCATGCATTCTGTAAGTAAATTTGGCATAAACCTTGAAGTAGTCGAACTCATTTTGAATTGAAATGGTTATCGTGAGTGGATAATGATTTTACATAATTAAAAATTCTAATAAGTAAGAGACATTAATAAAAATTAGCCTTAAATATAGTTCATAGTATTTTAATATCTAATAAGAACAAAAATACTAAAATACATACTACAATTAATCTTAGACGGTATCCAAATGATAGGTACTAAATTCATATAAGCAACATTATGTATAGAATTGAAATCCACATCTGTATATTGCCAAGCAACTATAGTAATTGCACACTAAAAGTGTGTTGGGCCATCAATTACTAATAAATACATCAGAATCTATGAATAAGACAAGGAAGTAGCATGATTTTACAATATAGACTCTTAAATATATAAGTCTATCAGATAAGAGGAGTCCAACAACAGCAACTCTAATAGCACCTAGTTTGGTTGTAGAATGAGCATGAGAAACTCTAAATATTTAATATACACTCAGTAAAAACTAGGAGATAAGGTCGCTCAATTTATGATATATGAAGCTTGATATTAATTATATTAGATGTCTTCAGAAGTACTATTGTCCTTCTACAAACATTTTGTGTTTAGTTGCCTTTTTGATCCCCTAATCTAAGATACTTTTAGTTATTATCACTCATAAGATCTTTAACAAACATTGTTAGAATTTTGATCATTTCTGAAGAGAGCAAGGCCTATTTGATGGATCTATTAGCAGGTTATACTAAGGAGATAAGCAGAAACATCCAATCATTGAGAGTAGAAATGTTTGATATAACAGGCCCTAATCACAAAGAATGAGATGATTGAATGAAAAATTTTTATCACTCTTAACCTTTCCGTTTCCAAAATGGAGCTTTTTCGTAGCACCAAAATTAAAGAGTAAAAATTCGAATATTAATCATTATGTGATTGTCCTCAAATACTTTCATATCCATAACAAAGGAAAAATTATTTGTGATTTGAACGGATGCTTTGTAGCAGCACAATAGCATATTTTTAATATTCTCTTGCCTCTTATGTGCCTATTCTTTTCTTTTCTAGCCTTATAAGAATAGTTCCGTTCTCAATCAAACATCCATAACTACTTCATTGTTAATCGGCCTTCTAGCACTTTTTTCACAACTTTGAAATGCTTAGTTCAGCTAAAATGAATAATACACCCTTGAATGGTTTAGGGACAATATTACAATTATGATCCAATCAAAAATGTAAATTTATTTCCTTAATGTAATTCACCAAGGTTCTCTTAGGCTCCCTTTCATTTTGACAAATACTTTAATTAGATAATCAAGAGTTGCAAAACCAATTATTAATTTTACTTAGCAATAATCTTTACAAATGCAGATGATGTTGCTATAATTTCTTTCATACTTGTGCTGGATTAGTTGCTACTCAAATCCTTAAACTTGCAGATAAATATGGGTACAAAATTCAGATTAAGAAATCCAACTGCATATCCAAAAAGTTTTTAGGACACTCTGAGTCTGAAAGTTGAGGAATTTTAAATGATTTTTGGTCTTTGATTTTCAAAAATGGTAATATAAGTGAACATAGGAGAATATCAAATCAAAGTCTACTCTTTATGTGATTAACTAAAAACTTAAGTTGATCCTATCCCAAAGAGATTAATTTATTGAGATTATTTTATAGAGGCTCTTTCAAAGAATTCTCCTTTTAGTTAAATCTACGATTCATTCTAGTTATTGGGTGATGGTGAAATTCTAAAGTAATTTGAAATTTGTAATAAACAGACTCTTACAATGAATTTCCCATACTCCAACTTTTTTACTATTTTAGTACTCACCATAAAATACATTTTAACTTTCACAAAATCCCTCAATTAATTCAACCCATTTCCCAACTTTTCCTCTTTCATCATATGATCCTCCGCCTCTACTAAATCAATTAAATCTAATAAATAATTTTATTTTTATAAATGTAATTCCATCTTCCACATTTTTAATCCTCAAAGTACTCCCCACTTTCATATACTTAAGCTTGACTATATTTAGATCTTATTTCAAGATTTACCTCCAATAATTTTTTATTGGTTATTTCCATAATCCTATTTTTTATTCATCCTTATAGTATCCACCAACTCCTAAAATTTATTTTCCTTTCCAAGTTGCAATCCACATGCCTAATTTTCTTTTGTTTGATCCATATTCACCTTACCATTCTAAATTTTATATTTATTCAATATTCTAAAATATATCAATATTGTTTTATAATTCGCAAGGATAAGCTCTAATAAGCTTCTATATATATTTACTTTTTCAAAATCGTATTACCTTATGAAAATGTTATTAGGTTATCACTGTTTTTGGTAATTTGTATTTTAACCTTTTTAATTCTCTTTGCTATTTGGTTCATCTGGTAAACCTCCAATTCTTAGATTGTTTCAAAACAAACTCTTTTATGTTATGATTAAGATTTCATTAAAAAAAATAATTGTTGCATTTCTATTAGAAAATGTTAGTAATATTTATATAAATAGCATTAATATTAATATTTAATTCTGATTTCAAAACAATTCAATTAAGTAAATTTACATGAATCAAGAAAAGGCTTAACATAAAATGTTTACTCTGCAATATCATCCCTTATAATTACTATAAATTTAACCTATCTAATGACAATATTATTATAAATCCAGCAACTAGTTATGTTAAATAATAACT